GAGCAGACCAGTTTCACATAGATAATATAGAACAGTTCATGTCATCTCTATGACAAATATTCAGTCTTAGGTAACAAAAATAAGAAGTTTAATTAAGTAGATTATAATAAAAGATTTAAAAAAAATAGATAAGATAGAATCAAGTTACTCTATAACTGAAAAATTCGGGCATCATATCGAGATAAAAAGAACTGAGGTAAAATGAAGTCTCTTTTGAAAAAATAAAATATTTCTTGTGACTCACCACTAGCAAAGAAAGATTGATAAGCCGTCTTCTGGTGATGCAAAAAGGATGCCTGATGGAGAGAGGAGTTCAAATTATGCCCCAATCTGAAATGAGAGTGTGAATTGAGTGCTGGTGAATGGCATTGACTTCTTCGAGATGCCGAGCTACGAAATATATGGAGACCGGGAGATTGATAGTGATTATGCGGCTGCTGATTTTGATGAAAGTGGGAGTGATAAAGATTATTAAAAGGAGGTAGGTTATGGGTCATAGTTTGGTTGATTTGCTGCTGTGACTGTTGTTGGTTTGGCTGACTGAGCTGATGATGGAAATGAGGAGTAGTTGGATTCGAATTGCGATCCAGACAATCGTTGCTTCTTTGTCGTCCTATGAGAGTAGATGCGATGCCCAACCCGGGGCCGCTGGATGAAGAGTTGATCATATCAAGTGTTGGCAGCGTTTTCAAATGAGGAAAACAAGTAATCAACGGGGAGTGTGCCATACCGGATGAAACTTCAGACGCAGTCATATCAGATAAAGAAGCCATAGCAGAAGCAGCTAGTGCAGCATCATCAATTGTTACAGCATTGCAAACGTCCCGGACAGCCTGGTCTGAACTGGAGCCGTTGGTATCGATTCTGCTGAGTGTGAGTACACCCCTCGGAGATGAAGTTATTGGTCCAAGAGCCTGATTAAAGAAAGTGACATTGTTGGGTTATCATGGGTTAAGGAGAAAATGTCAACGCATTTCTAAGTAAATTTAAAAAAATCAATTAAGTTTTGTATGCGCAAACGTAAGTAATTATATTCAAGGAATTGACAAAAAAATTCCTAATGCACTTCTAGCGCTACTAGTGGATTAAATAAATCCTGGCTTTGCAAGATGCATGAAGTAATAAAGAATGAAAATCGGACAGTGAAGACAAGGTGTAAATCACCAGGAAAGCATTCTCTATTGATATGATGGTTACTATATTGTAAGGGGAAGATGATAAAAGATAAAGAACCATGATAGATAAGAATATTTTGTCCACATTGAATCGATAAAATATATAACCAAAATCGAATCCTAGAGCCAAGGTGTGTGGCATTTTCGAAATTTCTACACACTCCGCATATCGAAAATCTGAGCGAAAATCAGCTCAAGGATGGGACTTAGGAAGACATGTAAACCTACATTTTATTGACGTATTTTTGGATGCAATCGACCTAAAAGTAGGGTAGAGAAAACAAAGTTGCGCTATTGTAAGCTAAATTTTACTCGTATTCAATACATTTTTGCCAATAACCAGTCTGATCGTTCATTACAACTAATATGAGCTTGTTTATTCTCCATGATGGTGGCTGACAGTATGTACCAACTATTTCGACCTAATTATTCAGTTAAATTTTTTTCATTTTTTACTTAATAAACTCGATCGAAGAATATTAGCATAATAACAGTGTCAAAGGATGCAGAATAAGCTATTAATCGAATTTTCTCGTTGAACACGAACGTGTCAAGACAGCTTCCTCCACAAATTAAACTAAGCTTAGCTTGCTTATATTTTAGTTACCAAGGCACCGATGAAGACCTGCAAGAAAATTCTAATAGATGAATAAAATTATAACCTTGACCAAACCTAAACGAATATAGCTAATATTAACGTATCACTTAAGTGAAATTCCATTTTTATCACTTTTAAAAAGAGGCCTTATAAAAT